TGATACACCAACTACTGGCCTGGTCTGTCAGGGCACTCTCCTCCTCTTCCACTAGAGGCCAGCTCCACCGGGCCCCAGCCGCTGTCCGTCACATTCACAGCTGAACCCCCAGGGCCTGGCACAGGACAGGTTCCCAAAAGATGTCAGACAGATCAATGAAAGTGCACACTCAGGAAAATGCAGAGCACGGCGGACCCCAGAGTCGCCCCAGCCTGGGTGTGCAGCACTTAATTAGAGATCAGGGGCCTTGGGGTGACAGAGTCACATTAGACTCTATAGGCAGGCAGAAAGAGATGACATTCGAGGGGGGGAGTCGGACGTTCGGTTGGACTTTCCTTCAGATGTCGCCTCCTCCAGGAAGCCTTCCCCTACCCCCACAGCCCCAGAGCTCCCTCCTTCCCTGCCAGGGGAGAGAGAGAGTGAAGGGAGCAGAGCGGGTAGCAGAAAGAGGCTAGAAGCAGAGGAAGGCTCCTGTTCCTTCTGGCTCCAGATTCTCCACAACTTCACTTTTGCTATGCACTGGACAGACCCCATTGCCCCTTCCTCACATCCACTGATGGATAAGACCACTCCACTCTTCCACCCCCACCCTAGCCCCCAGCATCCTCACGGGCCATCACCAAAGAGCCTTGACGAGTCAGGCTCGAACACGTGTTGACAGCCTCATAGGTTTCAGGGCTGTTAGAAGAGAACCTGTGTCACTTGGAGAGGCTCAGCTCAGGCCTCCTGCTCAACCTGGAGGCTATGAAAGTGATTCTTAATGACTTGGTGGGAGGGAGGCAGATAGGGCAAGATAAAGCCCAGCCTAACTTACACTGTGACCAGGTGAAGGAGGAAGAGAGGAAGCGTCACTGGTCGGGTCACGCACGCAGCCACTGCGATTGCTGTAGGGAGAGTGATGAAGGCTGCCGTCCTCCCAAGAGCTGAGACAGTCCAGATCCAGGGAGAGAGCGGCTGTCCGGCCCTCGGCACATCACCACCCATGGCCAGGGAGCACAGAGCTGACCCAGGCAGGCCCACACCCACACGCTCCTCATGCAGGTCAAAGAAAGAAAGGCTCTGCAGGGAGGGCGTCTGAGTGGCCGCTCAGAGCAGGGCTTCCCATTCTGGATGCAGCATCCATCTAGGCTAGGAAGACTGGCTCTCCCCTTACTCCGTGTGTGCCCTTGTCCTTTACCTCTGAGCCTCCATTTGCCTCCCTGTAAAAGGGGGATAAATACAGCCCCTCAAGAGGGTTGTTATGAGGATTTAAAATAGATAATATGAGTAAAGCCCTTGACTCAGGGCTTGGCACAGAGCAGGGTCAACACACTCCCTCACTCCGAAGCTCCAGGCCTGCTTACTGAACTAACACTGAAAAGGGCTGTTGACTTGGTCAAGCATGGACCGACTTAATGATTAAACCCAACGGGCAGTTTGAATTCAGTTTGAATTTGGCCTCTTCTCCAACCAGAACTGCGGGGGAGCCCCAGAGGCGCGCTGAGGCAAGGGACTGAAGGGTGCTGGTGGGAGACTTCCCCTCCCCATTCTCCCCCCTCCTCCCCACCCTGGAATTCCGCCCTCCCCATCCCCGCTTGTTTACACTTTTTCCCCTCACAAAACCCATATTAAGCCTAATAGAGTGCCGAGAAAAGGACCGTGTGGTGTTAGGAATAAGACAGACCCGGGTCTTCCAAGTCCAGCTTGGCCACTGCCTAACTGCATGAGTTGGGGCAAGTGTCCTAACCTCTCTGTGCCTCAGTCTCCTCATCTGTACAATGGAGGAGAATGGCACCTTACTTAGCAGGATTGAACTGCAACTAGAAAGAGAATGGGTCACGCACACAGTAGGAGCTTAGTAACCGTGAGTTCCCGTGCTGATGCCTGCACACTTGTGTTCACAGGGCATTCGTCTGAATTTGCTGACGCCCTCTGTGACGGCTGCCAAGGGGCTTCCCCACAATCGATCAAAAAGGACACGCCCTTCTTTGGCATTTCCTTACTGTTCACAATTGCATGTCAGGTGGACTGTGGGGCACCCAGTGTTATCTGAACATTGACCGGGAGGATCCTGCACATCGGAGGAAGAAGGCAGGACTCTGGAGCTAAATAAGCCTGGATTTCAACCCTGGTTCTGCCAACTGGATGAGCTGTGTGAGCTGGAGTGAGTCATTTTACTTCTCTGAGCCTCAGTTTCCTCATCTGTAACATGGAGATGATAATCCCTACCTTGCAGGGCTGTTGCAAGAATGAAATTCATTCATTCATTCAATAAATATTTACTGAACCCCTACTATGTACTAGCTATGGCCCCAGGTGCTGAATATATAGCCGTGAAGAAAAGAGACAAATCCTTCCCAGGGAGACAGATGATAAACAGCTAACTACACATCCAGCGTGGCCCGTGGTGGTCCATGCTAAGGAGGACCACACAGCAGGGTAAAGGGAGCGGGGAGTGAGGGGGACAGGGGTGACGGCCGACCCGCATTCGAGCAGAGACCTGAAGGAAGTGAAGGGGAAGCCACGTGGGGGTCCGGGGAAGAACGCGCCAGGCAGAGGGATCAGCAAGTGCAGGCGCCTTAAGGAGAAGCTGTGCTTGGCAGTAAATGAAGCCACATATGCAGGAAGCCTGGCACGGAATCCAGGTGCTCAGCAAATGCCAGCTCTCTATTTCTAGTCCCGTAGAAGGAACCCCACGCACGGGTCCTTTTCCTGAGAACGAAAGCACAAGGATTTCTACAGGGCAAGACTCAGCCAAGTGTTCTTTCAGCCTAAGATTCAGGCAACATGTGAGCTCCACCACCAGTTTCTGAGCCCCTGCCAGGCACCAGGCTCTGGGCTGGGCAACCAGGAATACAAGACAATCAAGACACAGGCTCTGTCCTCAGGCGGCCCCAAGGTGAGTCGTGGAGACGGACGACCACAATGCAATGTGGTCAGAACAAGCAAAGACTTAAGGAGGCATTTAGGTAACATAGCAAAGGATGGGATTGGGTGTGGGTGGTCAGGGAAGGCTTCCTGAAGGAGGGAACAACTAAGCCGGGTTTTGAAAGATGGACTAGACAAGAAAGGGTATTCCAGAGTGGGGAGCATCACGTACTGAGCACAGAGGTGAAAAAAATGGCACAGTGTATGTGAAAAACTAATTACAAACAGGTCAGAAAACAATAAACGGCCCTTCATGTTCTTGGCACCTGTAACCTGCTGTGGCTCAGGAATTTCAGCTCTGTCCCCTTCCTCAAACTCGATGCCAGCTCAGCCTCAGCAGACAGTGTGAATTCTCCACTCTGCTCCTGCAGCAGGTAACTGACCTTAGCCCCCTCCGCTCCCAGCCCAGGGCGGCCCAGCCCTCAGAGCCAGACCCCAGTGGGATGGAGACACAAATCTCCAGCTATATTTAGCCTGCCTGGCGTGTGTCTGTCCCTTCACCCACCCCAAGGCCAATGGCTTTTACTAAAAGAGCATAAACATTTCTTAATTAAGAAAACGTACAGAGGGGCCTGTGCCTCAGCCCGATGTCTTTGTGGCTGAGAGAACATGTGCCATATTTGCCAACATCCCTGGACACCTCCTGACTGGGTGGGTGGGTTCTCTTTCATCCTGGCAAATAGCCCTATTTATAGCAGGTGGAGCTCACCCTCTGGTAAGTGGTCTTGGGTTCGAATCCCACCTCTGCCACTGACTAGCTGGTGACCCTCTGCTGGTGACTTCACCTCTCTGGGAATTTGGAGGTTGAATGCTGCAGCCCTAACGCTGCCCAGAGGCTTATAAAGTGGCAGGCGTTGGCTCCTCTTCCATAAGCCGGCCTTGGGAATCCCGGGCTCAGCACCATCCATTTCAATCCCCTCCAGGGGAAGAAACAACTATTTTTTGATATAACGCCTAGAAGGGAGAGCTCTATGGGAGTGTTAGAGCAGAGACCGCGTGATAGGTCCCTCTCCTCCTAAAACCTCACAGAAATTTGCCCCACAGTGGACCTGCTTCCCTGCTGAGCTGAGCCTTTGAACTTGAAAAACACGCACATCTCTCACCTTCTGCCTCAAGGATGCTATCGACGCCTAGCCTTAAGCCAAAACAGAGACTTATTCTAAAGACTTGGGGGGTGGGGAAGGGTGGGCAGGCAGACATAGGTCCCAATCCAGACTCTCCCCCCACCAGCAGTGTGACCTTGGGTGAGTCATTTCCCCTCCTCCGAGCCTCAATTTCTTCTTTTATAAAATTGGTACACACCTCTTTACCACAAAGCCTTTGCATACGGCCCCGGGGTATGCAAAGTGCCGGGCACAGAGCCGCGGCGCACTGATCTGTTCCCACAATTACCAGGTGTTTTCTAGTAAGGCCTCATCTGTGTCCCCACTCCCGCCCTCCCCGCCTCATCCCTACTCCGGCACCAGAAATTCTGGGGTGGTGCTAACTAGGGGGCGATGCGCTGTGCAGCAGCGACTCCGAGGGGCTAGAGAGCCCCCAGTTGAGGGGACACCAGAGGGGGGCGCAGCCAGGGTGCCTGTGGGAACATAGCCAAACCAAGGCAGCATGTGCCGCGGGGGCGCTGGGCGGCTGGGAGCTGGGGTACCCCTGCAAGGACCCTCCCATTCTCAGCAGCTGCAGTCTCCGTACAATGGGCGGCTTCTGGCCGTCGGAAGCCCTGGGGAGCCCGGCTCCAGTCACCCCCCCGGGGCGTCCCGGGCTCCCTCTTCAGCGCCCTCGGGCTGCAACAAAGGCGAGGGGGCGCGCGGCATCACCCCAGCGGGCCCTTCGCGCATCTGGCCACAGCCAGGAGAACGAGGACGGGGGTCCCCAAGGTAACCAGGACGCGGTACCCGCCCTCCCGGAGCGCAAAGCCCAGCCGCGGGGCGCGCGCGGAGCCGGGGTCCGGGCTCCGGGAGGCATCGGAGACTCCAGCCCGCTGCGAGCCGAGGGCTCCAAGGGGGGTGGGGTGGCTCTCCGGAAGTCACCCAGCGGGCCCCCCGAGGAGAGGAGAACCCCAGCGCCCGCCTCCCGGACAGGGCTCCGCGGCGTACCTGGCAGGGTCCTGTGCACGGTGTTGCCCATCGCTGCGTCGGGGCGCGACGCTGGCGGCGGCGCGCTCGGGGCGCACGGAAGCTAATTACGCGGTGGGCTGGGGACCCGGGCCCGGGTCGGGCTCCGGGGCATCGCGGCTGCACAGGCGAGCCGGCGGGCGGCAGCTGGGGCGGGAGCCGGGAGCGAGGAGGCGGCAGGAGGAGGAGGAGGCGGAGCCACCGGCCGGCCGCCGGCTCCGCCCCCGCTCCCGCCGCCTCCAACCGCGCAGGGAGGGGCGGGGCCGCGGCCGCCGCATCTTTTGAAAGTTTGCACCGGGCGGCGGGAGTGGAACCGCCGAGTCGCCCGCCCTCGCTGCTCCCGCGCCCGGGGCAGGAAGGCGCGCCGGGCAGCTGGGTGCCGTTGGGTGCCAAACTCGTCATCCTGCTGGCATTTCATTTATTCCCACACTTTGAGAAGGCCTACTGTGTGCCAGGCTCGCTTCCAGGCGCTAGGCCACAGCGGGCCAAGCCCTTGCCCCCGCAGAGCACGTATGCGGGGTGCTGGGGTGGGGGTGGGGGTGGGGACGTACGCACAGGCAGAAGGTCACCTTGGACAGTGTAAAGAGTCTGAGGACAGTCCAGCCGGGGTGACCGTGGTGGGAGTGCGATCACGCACCTACAAGTAGGAGAAATCTAGGCAGCGTCCAAAGGTTGGGAGGCGGGAACCCATTAAAATATTAAGCACATCCTATGTGCCAGTGGCTGTGCTGGGCTCTGTAGATATAGACAAGGCTGCTAGTGGTGAGGACAGAAATAACAAGTGATTAAGATCACATAATGATCAAAGCCGAGAAGAAAAGAAGATAAGAGTGATGGGGTAACTTTGGGGGGCTCAGGAAGAACCTGGGGGGGCATGGCAGCTCCTTCTGATGGGCCTCAAGGAATCAGCCGTGGGAAGGGGGGGAGGTGTCCCTGGCAGAGGGAGTAACAGGCATTCCTCATTCATTCATTACCCCCACAGGTATTTTTGGAGCACCCCTCTTGTGCAGGAACCCAGACCACACTCGGGGGAGCAAAGCCGCTAGTCCCTGCCCTCACTGGGCTCCATTCTGCAGATCAGAACACTGAGGCTCAGAAGTACAATAACTTCCCCAAGAAGACCCAATTCTAAACCAGTTTTTTTCCAACTCTACTTTCCATGCTGTTGTATCCTTTAAGACCTTATGAAATATGTGTTATCAACCCCACTTCACAGACAGGGAAATTGAGGCTCAGAGAGTGGAAAGGAGGTGCCCAAGATCTCCCAGCTGGTAAGGGGCAAAGCTGGACTGGAGCTTTGTGAATGAAAGGGGGGGATCCAGGAGAGAGCCCCCCTTGCTTGGTGTTTCCGGTGCCTTCTGCCTGGGATGCCTGACTCATCCTAGAGGGTTCTCCTTCAAGGTCAGCTCAGGGACTCCACCTCTGGGAAGCCTCCTCTATACCCCACCCTGCCCTGAGTTATACATGTCTGAACGTAAGGTTGCCTTGTATTTGGGTTACTAATTTCTCGAATTACAGGTGCTCTCTCGTTTAATTTTTAAACACCAAGTCCTGCTTGGGAAAGGTACATGAGTTCCAAACATCGTCAATCCAGGTGAGCTGGGATGCAGACAGAGCTTAGCAGTATTATAGAGGTTTACGTTATTACTCACGGAGAGCAATGCAGTGCAAGTGGGACTTTGTGACTGCAAGAGTCACAAAGGGAGGGTCACAAAGGCTGACTGCACGGGAGGTTGTTGTAAACAGGCCTTTGAAAAGCCGCTGTCAGAGCACCCGGGTGAGTGGCGGTGTTGTGCAGGTCACAGATGCACACCTGCAGCAAGTGAAGCCCCAGCTGTCCTAAAGTTATGTGGACGATACCTGTGGAGGGGACGCAGTGTCCAGTGGCCACCTGACACATGGATCCCAGAGGGCTGTGTTTTAGCATCTTGGTCTCTGTGAATAAGGTGTGCTCTGGAAAACTAAAAAAGCCCCTCCCCCCAGGTGATGGTGACACTGGTGTCAAAGCCACATGTAAAGAGTTTGAAACAAATAGTTTCTTGAAATTTGAGATCAGACAAAAGCAGTCTTTCCAAATTAATATTTTATATAAAAATGATTTAAAATATGTATATCTAACAAAATAAATAAATATTACAAGTAGATGTCTATTTCATCTCCGCCTGTTAAAGTTGAATTTATATCATTCAGCTTTATTGTGCATCTTCTCGTTGTGAGAATAGGGATTGCCCTTAACTTTTATTTGAATTGCCTTATGTCTGGGCATGTAGGGTCGTTGCTCCCCCCCTGAGGTCCCTCTGCACTCTGTCCTGTCCCTCAGCTACACCCTCAGGGCAGGTGCTATAGCTGTTACCCTTCTGTTCTCTCCGCTGGCAGATGGGAGGCCTCCTGCGGGCAGGACCCATGTGGTGTTCATTTGTAAATCTCCAGTGCCCAGAACAGGACTGGCATACACAGGTGCTCAGCTCACATTTGCATAACTGGCTGCAGAGATGCATGGCTCTGAACTGGAAGGAAAAAGGAAAGAAGGAGAGAGACAGGAAGGAAGAGGTTGGAAAAAGTTGTGAAGGAATGAGTTTTAGTTGATAGTAGCCGTGGACTCTGGTGTGATCAATAGTGACATGTGTGGGGAGAAACAAACAAAATGGGATGCGTTAACAAAAGTATAGTCGCTAGAACAAAGGAGGGGCTTGCTTCTCCAGTGCCTGCTGATTAGAGCATTCTGGGAGAAGTTGCTTTGGCTCTGGGCACCGTACTTGAGAAGCAAGACAAAGCTGCTCCACGAAGGTGGGGAAGGTGGTTTTGTGAGAGAGGGAGATCCCTGTCACGGGAGGGGTGCAAACAGAAGGCAGGGTATGAAGGAGCATTCCTGGGCCTGGGCAGCAACCTCTGGTCATAACCTCTCCTGGCTTTGACTTCCACGCACCCACCAGCCTTAACCACATCCAGAATTGCACAGACTACGGCACCCTCCCTTGGCACCAGGACCCATGCTTGGGTTGCAGGGGCCCCTGGGTGGGGCCGACTCTCTTGACTGTGCCGTGTTGGCACAACCTCCCAGGGCAGTGGGTAGAGGCAGGGCCTGGCCGGGCTCCCTGGCACTGCTCCTTCAGGCATGCCTTGGCAGGCCCTGCCCCGTGCAGTAGCAGGCAGGCAGGTGCACAGCACACCGAGCTGGGGGCCGGTGCCTGCCCACTGCAGACACCTGGGAGAAAAGACCCCTTCCTCCAGGGAGCCCCAGGGCGTTTACCCAGACTCCTCCTCGCAACGCAAGAAACAAGAATCCAGGCTACAGTCAAACCACAAAGCCCGGTTTTAAAATTGCTACAGGAAGGCTCTCCTTTTCAGCAAACCCTGCCATCAAACCCTCAATTTCCAGGCTCAGCAGGTCTTCACCCACTAAAGCAACATTTCTCAGTTCCTGGTTACAAAGTGCCAACCAGGTAGAGGGCACCAGGCTGTGCCCTTGGAGCGCTCCTCCCCACAATTTAGCGACGCGCTTATTCACACAATTCCAGTCTTGCAGGAGAAGACACTGAAGCGCAGAGAGAGGAAGGAGTTGCCGAGTTCACACAGCCAGGAAGAGGCAGAACCCAGAGGGTTCTCAGTTCTCTCTTTTCACAGAGGAGGAAACAGGCTCAGAGCGATGCTCTGCTCAGTGAGCAAATCATGTTTGTGTGGAAGTGAAGCTGGCTGTGCTTCACCTGGCAGCCAGGGCAAAAAGGGAAAGAGGCTCATCGCATGGCTTTTCCTGTCATGTTCCCTTACAGACGCCCACCTGGTGCTGGAGCCAGTTCCAAACGGGAGTTCATCCCCGATGCACAGGCAGGCTGAGTGAACAGAATCTGCCTCCTGAGTTTGCCCAAAGACACATCAACGATGTTCTGATGGATGGGTCCCCTGCTGGCCATCTGAAAAGGCCAAGGGCTGACATTTTCCTGGAATCCAACAGAGGCAGCTCTGCAGGAGGCTGGGGTCATGGGTGACCCGGATTCAGCTATCTCATAACCCAGGGACAGAGCGTGGACATTCTGAACACAGGGTCATTCCGGGCATGGCCTGAGGCAGGGGCTGAGCTGAGATCACTTTATGATCACAGTAACTTGCAGTCACCGCGTAGTTACGATGCTCATTCTGACACAGTGCCAGCTACATTTGCTGAGTGCGGATGCTGCTTCAAGGCCTTCAGATGTGCTAAGCTCATAACAACCCTAGGAGATAGTACTATCAATGTGCCCATTTTATAGGTGGGGAAACCCAAGCCCAGAGAGTGTAGGTAGCTTGGCCACAAGTCACGCAGGCAGAGAGCAGTCTGACTGAACATAGTAGGCTCTGATTGATTTAATCCTCACGACAACCCTATGAGTGGGGAAAGTGAGTTAAGGGTTAAGGAGTTGCTTCCCCACCCTTGTATTTGTTGCCTTTTAAAATCTCCATCTCCTCTGGCAAAGTAGGGGGCCATTATGGTCTCTATTCTATAGGGCATGCTGGGTGGCACTGAGAGGTAAAGCAACTTGCCCCAGGCCACACAGCCCAGAGGCAGGACCAGGACAGGAACCCAGCCTACTCTGACCAGAGTCTGTGCGCCCCTCCTCTTGGCCCCAGAGCTGGCCCATCCTACCTGGAGCAACTTGAGGGAGGCCTGCGCTGATCCGTTTTCAGAGTGCAGTGCCCAGCCCTGGCCTGGCCCTGGGAGAGCCCCCGTTCCCTGCTGACTTCCTGGAGTGTGGAGAGCCCCCAGGGGACACGGACTTCTAAAGAAAAACTGGAATAATGGACTGGAGAGGTCTTAAAAGGCCAGCTTCAAATCCTAGCTTGGCCGCTTACGACCTGGGTGACCTTGGACAGGTCACGTGTCCTTGGAGCCTCAGTCTCCACATCTGTAAATGGAGCTGAGAGGAGTCCCTATTTCGTAGGGTATTTGTAGGGTGGATGCGCCATTGAGAAGGGCCTGGCATATAGTAAATGGTCAGCAGAGGTGAGCTTGGGAAGGGGTCGTCTTTCTCCCTGGGCTCACCCCTGCAGGCCCACAAGCTAGGTGCAGCCCTGCTCTACCCTCAACCCCTCCCACTGCGAAGAGGGTCCAGAAGGGGCCCAAGCAGGCTGGGTTCAAGTCCTGGTTCGGCCTCTTCCTGGCCGGGTGACT